GGTTTTGAAATTAAAATTGATGAAAGTGTTTGAAGGTATTTTTCTCTTTAGAGTTATCAAGTTCATCAAGTGTTGTAAATGTCTTTTTTTTAATTGAGATTAAGACTCTTCTACTCATATAGTCTCTTATGATTGTATTAATAACATTTCAAAGAGTTAGTCTCAATTTTTCTTATCTCTTCTTTTAGACGAAAATTTTGTTGATGTTTTTCTCTTTCTTGATCATGATCTCATAAGATGAATCTTTGTACCTGACTTGTCTAGATCAAATTCTATTTTCTCTTTCAATGTCAAACACTATTTTGTCATGTGTTTGTAATTGTGGTGATATCATCAATGTCGACTAAGGTCTACATTCAATGGTGTTAAAAAGCTTCCTTAACTTAGAAAAATGGTCGATGTTCAAAACTTCTTCCAAGTTGTGTTCTTTATTTATGTTGCGATGAGTGAAATGTAACAATTATTGATTGTAAGGTTATGGTTCTTGATTGTGTTTTTTCTCATATACTTTCCTCTTAGTGAGGTATTTTTAGCTTGAACATTATTGTTAAAATCCTTGAATTTTTAAAATTGAATGAATTTGGCTACTCGTCACCTTAACTCATATAGGTGAGACATTGGTTTTACCACAAAGAATTTAGATTTAAGTATCGTGACCATATGGTACATGTTTGGGTTCAATTTTCTGATATTCATAGCTATTTTTCTAAATCATTCAAAAAAAACTTGCAAGGACTTTCATTTTTTGTCAGATGTTCACTAGTGTGATGAAAGCTAAGTAGTAAGAATGACTACTTGTGAATTGCATGTCAAACTTCACTACCAATGTGTTGAATAATTATGAAGTATGTGAATCAACTTACCATTTCTCCTTTGAGTGATATGGAAAATATCCAACTGAAGATGACATCGATAATGAGGATTTTTCTAGCTCAATAAGAAGGCACTCTCAATGATTTCATCCATGAAAGGGTGATACAGGCCCTTTCATAGTTAAAGATATATTAGTAAAGGGATGTTATTGTAATTCAAGCTTCTCACTATTGTCAACTTTTTTTCATCATATACGAGAGGGTCATGAGTATTACACCAATCATATAAAACCAACTCAAAAGTATATTACACACCAATTCAAGTATTTTATTGTCTTAAATACTTACACAAATACATTACTGCATAATTATATGTTTTGTCTCAACTTTTACACACAAAAGAATCAAATTCTACTTACCTTATCAATTGTAAAATGTCTAAGTCAGAATTCTCCAACCAATTCATTTTTATTTTTTACATACCTCATTATATTAAATTTTTCCATGTCTGATAACTTTTCTATCTCATCGAGTATTTTGGTTTAATATTTTATCTTTCTAAAATGATTACAAAACAACACGGCATCACATATTAACAAAATTATATATATATATATATTTAAATTCTTGGAGATTCTTATATTTGTAGATAAATATTAAATGGATTTTCTTATTAAAAATATCTCAATTTGAATTCTAAATTTTGAAAAATCGTAACAAAATAAAAAATATATAAAAATTTGTATTCTTTATTATATATAAAAAATTTATAATCTGCATTTTGTATTGTTGTACAATCCGTAAAATTAACATATACGATCTTCATAATATAAAACTATAACATTTTTTTTGCTCTATACTGTGTAGTAGTAAAGATTTATATTTATAGATTGTACAATTTATAAATTAAAAAATAAGAAATGACTTACCCCTGTGAATGCAGGAGAAACCACCTCCCACCACGATCAATGTCCACTAACCACGAGTCAGCACCACTAGCCACCAAAAAACGCACCACTAGCCAACAAAATACACACCACAACCATACTCCAAACCAAATACAATCCAATAATCTAAACCATACTCCATTTTTATTTATCTCATTAAGGGAATAGCTTATATTTCAAGGACTATGGAAGTGCATCAAGAAAATATAAAGGTGCAGGTAGCAGAACTTGATACATGGCTGAATCAAGTCAAGGTGAACATGATTATTTTAAAGAAACCAAAACCAAAACTTCTTAGGTGTTACTCCCTCCACCACCACAACTTGCTTCCTCCACCACCCCATTCCCCTTTTACCCTTTTCTTTATTTTTTCATTCCTATTTTACCCTTATTAAAATTTTAGTTTTAATATTATTTAAAATCTCACGTGAACATTCATTCTCTTTATCATTTTTCCCTCTTTCTCTTTATTATTTTTCCTAGGTTGTCTCTTATGTTTCACTATCCTTGGGTTGTCTCTCATGTCTCACTTCTTCTTTTCTTTTATAGAATTGTGACGTGAGAGTGTGGTGGACTTTGTGTTTAGTAAGATTGAAAGTGGGAAAAGCAATTCATCCGTGAGTGTGGTGATGCTTCAAGGTGCTGGTTCAGAGACGTGAAGGTGCATAATAAAACCCTAAAATATAAACCGTATAATCTTTAAACGGATGTTGACATCCGTCGACGGATGCTCACATCCGTTTAAAGATTACGGTTTATATTTTACAGTTTTTTTATATTGATTTTGAAGATATTTAAATAATATAATTTATATTTTTTGATATATTATTTTTGAATATATGTTGATGTATTTTAATAATGTATTTTTGAGGATCTTTATTCTTATTAGTATATATGTAGATTTTTTTTTTATAGTTAGGGTTTTTGTATAATATATATTTTTATATATGACTTTTTGTATTCTTTAATAATTTTATAATTATATAAAAAGTTATTTATTAGTTTAATTATATGAAATATATAATTTTATTATTTTATTATTTTTATATTTGTTTGATTAATTATTAATTATATTAATAAGATTTATTATAATTTTATAGGTGATTATTGTTTAAAATGGATGAATATCTTCATATGGATTCTCAAGTTGGTTCTAGTTTGATATCTGATTTCTCTTCATTCATTGGTAAAGTTGGAGAGGGAGATTTGACAAATAAATTTACCACAAATGAAATATTTCGTTCACGGGAGCACTTAATTGCATGGGTAAGAGGGATGACTTATGATTTAGGATTTGTTGTGGTAATAGTAAGATCTGATATAGCTACTGGTGTACGGGGAAGAAAAACGTTTGTCATACTTGGATGTGAAAGAGGAGGGAAATATCGGAAATACAAAGCCCATGTGGTGCCTAGTGTATACGGGACTCATAAATGTGAGTGTCCGTTTAAATTAAAGGGTAAACCAGGTTCAGACGGTGATGGATGGGTGTTGAAGGTGATGTGTGGACATCACAACCATGATTTGGCTGAAACTTTAGTTGGACATCCTTATGTTGGCAGGTTAAATATGAGTGAGCAGTCATTACTGGTTGATATGACAAAGAGTAAAGTTACACCTTCAAATATTTTATTAACCCTCAAACAAAATAATGATCGAAATGTCACAACGATTAAACAAATCTACAACGCAAGACAAGCGTATAAACGATCATTGAGAGGGTCCAGAACTGAACTACAACAACTTATGATGTTGTTGGATCGGGATAAGTACATTCATTGGAGTAGGTGTGCCGACGATTCAAAGGTTGTTA